GCTGAGACTAGGCGCCAATTGCTCACTTTTTGAGACCCTAGCGCCATTGGCGCGCACTTCCAGCTGCAACAATGGCAAATCTTTAATGCTCGTGGACTACTCTATCTCACCTACTGAATAGATAGTTCGACACGATTTCTGCTGGGAGGCTGCTTTAACCCATTGCGGACCGCGTGCTGCACCATGTGCAGCACGCCACCACGCGGAGAAGGATAGTAATCTTCGATTTTTTCAGCATTTTGCTAAGTTACAAAATCAACAGTTTACTTTTTCAGACACAGGATATATCATATATTTGCGTACTGGTTAAATTTTCGATAGATTATTGGCCACTGATAAAAGAGATGACAAAAACCTACGGAGGTGCAATTATAACGGCGGTCCGCAATGGGTTAATTTACAAAGCATGCTGAGCACAACTATTGAGGCTCAACAACGGCTTCTTGGGTATATCTTCCGTAACATTCGCCGGGTCCCCGCAAATATTGAGCAGCACTTCGACTTCCATTTGACTGAATGGAACACCCAAAAAAGTTTTTTGAACGAGACTTGACGAAGTCCTCAAAGCAACAGTACCAGCAGGATCTTTACCCTCGACACTAATGGTCTGAAAAAGATGCGCGAGAGTGAGCCCAAGATAAGAAAGTAGGAAGCGTCAATGAACAAAAAACTCACCTGGGAAAGGCGTTAAAAGGGATTTGACATGTGTCAACGTCTTATTAATCCTATTCCTTTTCTCTTGTCTAGGTCGGAGGTCGAAGGAAGGGAAATATACCTAGTCAAATGACAGACAGGCGCGTTTTCTAGGGAGGACTATTCCCCAGCGGCCTAGCGGGGCGTACTCGAGATGCCCGCGCGCCTCTGCCCGTCCACCTCCTCGCTATCCGTCTCTAGCCATTCACCAAAGAGAGCGGTAGCGTAGAAAGAGGGGTCAGTTTTCTCGGGATCTGTATCGCTTCTCATGGTTTTTCTTTGCCCTTACATCATTGACCTCTGTCTTCATTTCTAATGTGATGCCTTTTCCTCTTGAACTTTGCCTTCGAATTGCAGCTATACTGAACGAGATATATGGCTTACTTCAATGCTGGCCCCAATGATTCGACATCCAGATCTCCTGATGTGATGGCAGTATGCAGCAGTTTCCGTTCTTCTTCTGGCAGACTTTCCAGTAGCTGGAATGAGCATATAAACCCCATGCAAACACTGTTTCGTTATTCAAGCCTTTCCGGTTTCTTGACTGCGTAATGCACTCAACACTACTACACACATATATGAGAGCCAACTTTCAGGGACACACACGAACAAGGACAAGCTAAGTTACTGCCCTTCAGTGGTAGTTTTGAATGCAGTGAGTTGCAGTTGCACGAATGATTTCACACAAAAACCATCTTCACTACGAAAAACGTTTCTGTGGTCCACTTTAAGGTCAAATGTATACCTTCAATGAGTCCTCCTTATCCTTTGTCATGCGAAACTGCTTCTCTTTATCGTCCTTTTCCTTTATTGATTGGTTCAAAGCGGAGGCCGCTGAAAGTTGAAGTTAAAGTTCAAGTGTACCGCAAAAGTTGTATGATTGGATTACCTTGTGTGAGAATTGTTTCCATAATAGTAGGTTGCGGTTTTGGCTTCCCATCTTCAGAGAATGATGCGCTAGGCAGTGGAAGGCGAGCTCCACGTAGAGCATTAGTCATGGTTTCCAGCAAACCACCTTTCTGGAATACTTGGTTGAGGTCTAGAGTCCTAATAAAGTTTTAGCTCCACCTCAGAAGCTCAGATTTTTAAACGCAAGTAGAGCTCAGTCTGCCACGCTGTTACTATATAGTTCTTAGCATATGGCGAACAATGAGGCAGCCTTTCGATTGCTGATCCCAGGAACTTCTGGAAGAATTTGAAGATCACATTTGAGATCCAAGTGAGTAATCGTTGATTTTCTCGCGAGAGCTACACTCAAGGCCATAAAGCAGATAGCGGTTGGATAGGGGAAAATCCTAGGATGGCAGATGACTGGAAATTCTATGGGATAGCACCTCTCATACGAGTTCTACAATGCTCTGGTGAGACTTTTGCAACATGCTGCATCCACTGATGATGTTTTCGATCGCTGGAGTTCCACTTGCTGTATATGTGCACGAGTTTATATATTCACCGGACCCGAGTTGACGATTGAAGGGTGTCCCATAAATATTGCATCACGTTTCTTATCTTGTAGCATCCTCCAGAATGGACGCCTCGACCTGCCCGCATGGCATGCTGGGTGCCCTCTTCTAAACTTTGCAGAGAAAAAGTTTCGGCTCATCCATGTGGATGCAATGTTTAGTGCAGGCTGCCCTCTAACATAGCCCACATAGGATGGTCCAGCACGCTGAAATCAAGGATAGGAGAGCCATTCGTTCGAGGATGTGAAATCGGAAAGAGTGCCTTAACAGCGCTCCTGAACAATTTTGCCTCCTATGCAGAAGCTGGGTCCTATTGAAAAATATCAACCCTCGTCAAAGGTGGCTAGATATTTCAGTCTCAGATGAAGCATCGGAACTTCCTTTAGCTTGGCCTCGTTATCAAGTTTTGTTCATTTTCAAAAAGACAGTGATGATGAGCGACCAACAGTTGCGACTTCGCCATTGGTTGCTGCTTACAAGGAAAGGATGGTAGGTCGAAGTGGCCGTATAAAATGAGATGTATACCACCTGATGCGTCTCTAGACGCTGATTCCAAATCTGCCTTCCAAATCTGCTAAACGACTCTCCGAACGGAGTTATGAAGCGTAATAGCTCAGTGGTGATGGTCCGGGGTGGCAGGTAAAACTGTCCGCAGCAATTCGAGAGACAAAAGCAAAGCAACCAATTTGCAAAGGAACCGATCCTACGAGCTTTTACCTGCCACCCCGGACCATCACCACTGAGCTATTACGCTTCATAACTCCGTTCGGAGAGTCGTTTAGCAGATTTGGAATCAGCGTCTGGAGACGCATCAGGAGGTATACATTTCATTCCAAACGGCCACTTCGACCCAGGGTCAACCGTCACGTTCGAACATTTTCGGGATTTTTGCGACCCCCTAGCTCTCGAGGGGGTCCAGTTGCGACCCCCTGTTTTTGTTAATAAGAGTGCTAGACATGAATCCGTTGCGCCAGAAAGCGTCTCTGCGTTGCGGCGTCAGCCTTGGAGCGCGGCAGGTATCACCCGGGCGCTGGAAGAACGGGACGCGGCGAAGAAAAAATTTTAGAGGGGAATAACTTTCTTGGGACGTATTTTTTTGACTTGTTGAGGTAGATTTTGATTGTGCCTGAGGTGCGCTTCCAGAAAACTACAAGGATTGCCTTTCGTATGCGACATTTTGAAAATCTGTAAAAAGTTTCAGAAACTTCAACAAAATAGTATAAAAATTTAGTGATTGTCCCCTTTTTCAAAAAATTGTCCCGTTCGAACATTTTTCGTGCAAAAGCGAGTTTTTGGGCTTTCAGCGACCATAACTCACTTCATTTTCATTTCTGTGATGCACTTTTTTCATGGGTGAAAGAACAGTACTTGTTTTCATTCACGTCGACGGAATCGTTACAAGATTTATCCGCGTTCCTGACAGCCCAGTGTTTGCAGGAAATTCAGCGGCACTTTGCTCTATTCCTAGTTCAATTGCGCTTGGTAGCTTCCGAAAATTGAGGCAAAAAATGATCAATATGGGAGCCATAATCCTCTCGTCGCCGTTTACGTAAACACTACCCACGCACGTGCGTGATAGCGACTTGCGCACAACCAGAGGCAGCCATAAATCTCACTCTCACGATTCACTCGAAGCGAAAGTGACCCCCTTTAGGTGAAACTCAAACAATCTGAAAGCGTATGATATGCTAGCGACAGGAAGAAAACACCAAGTCTTTTTTCAGGAATGAGCATAAGGAATTTTTAGTGCAGGGACGCTGCCCTACCCTGCACTCGTTAGCTAGCGCCAAAAATGAAAGAGGGAGGCGGAGCGGGAGGTAAAAGAGAAGGTGCCGTCGCAGCGCGTGTGCACATTTGACCCTGCTTCTTGCGAATATGCACTTATTCTTTGTACTGCTTCCATATAAGTCTTCTCATAAAAGTATAGAGTGGAGGGGATGAACCTGGATGAAACATTATATCATGTCCTTTTTCACTTGTCGTTGCTCACTGCTGCGCTAGACCCTCTCACTCCTATCTGCACTTCAGGTGGATGGCAGATGGACACGGATAACCGACGGGAAGAAAGGTGGGCGCGCACGATGGAAACCACACAGGCGAAGGTGCAACGTGGCTCGGGGGGGGGGGGGGCGCAGGGCGTGGCATGTCCACTTACCTCAGTGCGGAGCGGGAAATCCGTGACCCAGGGGGAGTGTAGCCAGCCTAGGGGGGAGGGGTATAGGAGGGCAGTCACTTGAGTACGTAAAATTGAAATGTTCGAATTTCAACTAGCGATCATGTTTTTTTTGTGGGCCGCCCCCCCCCCCCCCGAGCCACACTGAGCATCCCAAGGCGGATAAGCGCAGACAGACGCGCATGGAAGGGAACGCGAACAGGAGATACACAAGGGGTTAATGGACACGGACAGAGGAAACGATAAGCACAGAAGTGGACTGAAACTTACCTGAGCGCTGCAGGCTGAAGACCAGCATACCACAGACGCAGATGGACGGAACTGGAAGAACTTAGTGTTCGTCGAGCCGGTTTTGGCGGCGGTGTTGGGAAGGCCTGCGGTCGAAGTACCGCGGCTGCCAAGTGGGTGGTTTTGGCGCCCATTATCGATATCCAATCATTCACTGATTGATCAGGTCAAGGTCATGATCTGCGTTGTGTCGAAAAAGCTCTTAACAGAATTCAAAATCGTCTTATTATTCGCACGCTTTGCACTTATAAATTCATAGGGGAAGTTAGCGTAACGCCATGAGGCGCTCTCCCACTACATAGAACCACCCTTGGATCAGAATTTCTTCATAGCAGCCAGGTCTGGCTGTCGTCTAATGTCAATGAAGACCAGTTGACCTTCACAAACAGACTTAAGTTTCGCTTGTTCAATTCCTGCCCCACTAGGCCATCTATTCAAGAAGCCAGCCCAAAAAAACATAGGGAACACATCAGGGAGGCAGCACAAGGAGGAACTCTCGGATATTCTGGGAACCATGATTCTTAATTCACTCACAAAGGCATCGGCCTAGGAGTTACTCCATGACCGAATCACCATGTACTTCTGAAGACAGAGCTCCTTTGTGAAACGATCACATGGCACCAGGGTCAACCGTCACCTTCGACCATTTTCGGGATTTTTGCGACCCTTAGCTCTCGAGGTGTCCAGTTGCGACACCCCTGTTTTTGTTGATGTTTTTGTTGAATAAGCGTGCTAGACATGAATCCGTTGCGCCAGAAAGCGTCTGCGCGTCGTCGCGTCGGCCTTGGAGCGCGGCAGGTCACCCGGGCGCTGGAAGAACGGGAACGCGAAGAAGAAATTTTAGAGGGGAATAACTTTCTTGGGACGTATTTTTTGACTTGTTGAGGTAGATTTTGATTGTGCCTGAGGTGCGCTTCCAGAAAACTACAAGGATTGCCTAACTCTCCGGAAAGTACTTCTGTTAGAAGTGGAAAACCCAAAATTCTAAGAAGGCGCACCTTCAACTTTGAAGGCCCATAAAATCTTTCGTATGCGACATTTTGGAAATCTGTAAAAAGTTTCAGAAACTTCAAACTAACAAAATAGTATAAAAAGTTTAGTGATTGTCCCCTTTTTCAAAAAATTGTCCCGTTCGAACATTTTTCGTGCAAAAGCGAGTTTTTGGGCTTTCAGCGACCATAACTCACTTCATTTTCATTTCTGTGATGCACTTTTTTCATGGGTGAAGAACAGTACTTGTTTTCATTCACGTCGACGGAATCGTTACAAGATTTATCCGCGTTCCTGACAGCCCAGTGTTTGCAGGAAATTCAGCGGCACTTTGCTCTATTCCTAGTTCAATTGCGCTTGGTAGCTTCCGAAAATTGAGGCAAAAAATGATCAATATGGGAGCCATAATCCTCTCGTCGCCGTTTACGTAAACACTACCCCGCACGTGCGTGGGTGCGTGATTAGCGACTCGCGCACAACGGCACGGCAGCCATAAATCTCACTCTCACGATTCACTCGAAGCGATAGTGACCCCCTTTAGGTGAAACTCAAACAATCTGAAAGCGTATGATATGCTAGCGACAGGAAGAAAACACCAAGTCTTTTTTCAGGAATGAGCATAAGGAATTTTTAGTGCAGGGACGCTGCCCTACCCTGCACTCGTTAGCTAGCGCCAAAAATGAAAGAAAGTAAAGAATTTTGAAGAATTTGTGGCAAAAATTGCCCCGTAATCGGCACTCAAATACGATACTCATGATTGCACTCATGTAAATGGAAATAATCTCCGCCAGAAGTGCAAAACCGTGCACACCAGACAGTTCCCACTCACTCATTGTTGTCAGCCATAAGCTGCGAAACACGAAGCCAGAATGGGTTACAGACAGACAGGATTTTCTCGAATATCGTGGGGAAAAGTGTGGAGTGTGCATGACGAGCATATGAATCACACCACAAGTATGCAATCATGCAAAGAATCCACAGTAACCAGGAAAAATGTGTGAGGCCGCACGCACAGTCGGTCGGACGAAAGCACGTCGAAGTGTCGTACAGGCATTAGGTGGGCTATCGATCGTCAGAAGTGGCG